GCCCTGGGACCCCCTTCTGGCCAGTGTCTCACCTACTCTGTCAGTTTGTTCTCCACCTTGTATCAGGACCTCTCAGACCGCAGAGCCCTTCCTTCAGGGTACTGCCCTGCCGCAGTGCCCCCACACTTTGGGGTTATCTGCTTCAGGGAACCCTCAGCTCCCTTTTACCCACCTTGCCTCAGCAACCCACTGCCAGTCGTCATCTAGCCCCTGCCACTGGGGCAAACTGCAGTCTAGCCCCTGCCACTGGGGCAAACTGAGGCCACTCATCATTGGCAAGGGGGTGACCTGATGCCTTCTGCTGCCTTGGCTGCCTCCCTTCAGCCCCAATAGTCTCAGGCCTTGAGAGCAAAGCCTCAGCCTGGGAGTTTGCCTGGCCAGAGCTCCCCAGCACTGCTCTGTGTCAGGAAGCCTCTGTAGCCATGGTGTCCTACACGTTATAGCGTTAGCCAGTGGCTACTACTTCAGAACTGGTTGGACACCTATAGTTTCCCTGGTAGGCAGGTCCCTCCTGCTCCCTAGCTGGAGCAAAAGCGTCTCTCTGTGGGTACGTCTACACTACAGCGCTAGTTCGAATTAACTAATTCGAACTAAGTTAGTTCGAACTAACGTCCGTTAGTTCGAACTAACGTCCGTTAGTTCGAACTAACGTCCGTTAGTTCGAACTAACGTCCGTTAGTTCGAACTAACGTCCGTTAGTTCGAACTAACGTCCGTTAGTTCGAACTAACGTCCGTTAGTTCGAACTAACGTCCGTTAGTTCGAACTAACGTCCGTTAGTTCGAACTAACGTCCGTTAGTTCGAACTAACGTCCGTTAGTTCGAACTAACGTCCGTTAGTTCGAACTAACGTCCGTTAGTTCGAACTAACGTCCGTTAGTTCGAACTAACGTCCGTTAGTTCGAACTAACGTCCGTTAGTTCGAACTAACGTCCGTTAGTTCGAACTAACGTCCGTTAGTTCGAACTAACGTCCGTTAGTTCGAACTAACGTCCGTTAGTTCGAACTAACGTCCGTTAGTTCGAACTAACGTCCGTTAGTTCGAACTAACGTCCGTTAGTTCGAACTAACGTCCGTTAGTTCGAACTAACGTCCGTTAGTTCGAACTAACGTCCGTTAGTTCGAACTAACGTCCGTTAGTTCGAACTAACGTCCGTTAGTTCGAACTAACGTCCGTTAGTTCGAACTAACGTCCGTTAGTTCGAACTAACGTCCGTTAGTTCGAACTAACGTCCGTTAGTTCGAACTAACGTCCGTTAGTTCGAACTAACGTCCGTTAGTTCGAACTAACGTCCGTTAGTTCGAACTAACGTCCGTTAGTTCGAACTAACGTCCGTTAGTTCGAACTAACGTCCGTTAGTTCGAACTAACGTCCGTTAGTTCGAACTAACGTCCGTTAGTTCGAACTAACGTCCGTTAGTTCGAACTAACGTCCGTTAGTTCGAACTAACGTCCGTTAGTTCGAACTAACGTCCGTTAGTTCGAACTAACGTCCGTTAGTTCGAACTAACGTCCGTTAGTTCGAACTAACGTCCGTTAGTTCGAACTAACGTCCGTTAGTTCGAACTAACGTCCGTTAGTTCGAACTAACGTCCGTTAGTTCGAACTAACGTCCGTTAGTTCGAACTAACGTCCGTTAGTTCGAACTAACGTCCGTTAGTTCGAACTAACGTCCGTTAGTTCGAACTAACGTCCGTTAGTTCGAACTAACGTCCGTTAGTTCGAACTAACGTCCGTTAGTTCGAACTAACGTCCGTTAGTTCGAACTAACGTCCGTTAGTTCGAACTAACGTCCGTTAGTTCGAACTAACGTCCGTTAGTTCGAACTAACGTCCGTTAGTTCGAACTAACGTCCGTTAGTTCGAACTAACGTCCGTTAGTTCGAACTAACGTCCGTTAGTTCGAACTAACGTCCGTTAGTTCGAACTAACGTCCGTTAGTTCGAACTAACGTCCGTTAGTTCGAACTAACGTCCGTTAGTTCGAACTAACGTCCGTTAGTTCGAACTAACGTCCGTTAGTTCGAACTAACGTCCGTTAGTTCGAACTAACGTCCGTTAGTTCGAACTAACGTCCGTTAGTTCGAACTAACGTCCGTTAGTTCGAACTAACGTCCGTTAGTTCGAACTAACGTCCGTTAGTTCGAACTAACGTCCGTTAGTTCGAACTAACGTCCGTTAGTTCGAACTAACGTCCGTTAGTTCGAACTAACGTCCGTTAGTTCGAACTAACGTCCGTTAGTTCGAACTAACGTCCGTTAGTTCGAACTAACGTCCGTTAGTTCGAACTAACGTCCGTTAGTTCGAACTAACGTCCGTTAGTTCGAACTAACGTCCGTTAGTTCGAACTAACGTCCGTGAGTTCGAACTAACTTTGTAGTGTAGACATACCCTGTGTCTCTCCAGGGGTGTTTCTATATTGCACCCTTAGCTCGAAATAAGCTACACAATTTGAGCTATGCAAATTGTGTAGATTATTGAGTGTATTTCGAAATAACCCGCTATTCCAAAATGTCCCTTAATCCTCATAGAAGGAGGTTTACAGGGATGTCGGAAAGCACACCTGTTATTTAGAAAGTTATTTCGAAATAACAGGCATGTTGTTGAGATGCAGAATAACTATCGACAGCTGGGCCCTAATTGGCTAATACATGCCACAGCTGGGCCCTAATTGGCTAATACATGCCACAGCTACAGACTCCACAATCTCAGCCCTCTCCCAGGGCTGTGTTTAACTCTTGTTAGGCCAGTGTGGGGCAGATGCCCTGTCACAGTTTATATTGGGGGTCATACCTGAACTTTCCTAGAATTCACAAGAAGTTTGATCCAGCTTTTCAGTTTAGGCTGATTTCAGATTTAAACCAGTAATGATAAAATATAAAATAAGATTAATTTGCTCAACACAGAAAAGTTTGAAATAACTTTGCAGAACATATGAAATATGTAACAGTTATACAAATCAGAATTCACTAAACCTCATGAGATTGTGCTATGTCTTTGGGCATAAATACCATGAATGTAATGTAGCCTCATTGGAGTCAATGTCAAAAATTCCCATTGATTTCAACGACACCATTATTTCACTCTTTAGTGTATGTGATTATACTACCTTCTTCAGTCATTTAAAATGTCTTGTTCTGTATGTGGTCCACGTTATAAAATTGGTCACAGACATGTGACCACAAATATGAATTTCCTACTGTATATGATAAATTATATATTGCTAAGTTTTGTCACAACACTGTATGTACTGTTGTGGAACAGTAGTTTCCTTTATCACAAAAGCAATTAAAATTAATGAATAGCTGCACTGCATCAGATATATTTAATTAAAAACCTTTGAAAATAACATTTACAAAGCTTCATTTCCTTCAGATCCTATGAGCAGGAAGAAACCCCTTATATAGTACTGTTTTCTGTTTTGTAATAAGAAATGGGCCAAAATACCAGGCATAAGCATCTGCAAATTCTGGCATGTTTGGAATCTGAATCTAAATCTGTATTTTATGGCTTAGGCTCATCTCTATTTTGAACTATTGTTTGAAAATAAATGTATTCTTCCTTGGGAAGTCAAGGGGACTACGTTGGAGATTTCTGCTGTTTCCATTTGTTTTGTGTGTGCGCCGTACTGTGATAGGATAGTTCATGCATCCTCCCCTGTTTTTAGACACATATTGAAAATGGCTTGTGTCAACCACTCCAATTTGAACACCTTTTTTGGTTGATGAGTAAGAGAGAACCTCTGTTTCACCTTCTTATGGAATTTATTGGCTTCCCTCCTGATAAGTGTGACTGAGGATGTAATAATTTATTTTAACGGTGTTGACACAGACTTTCAAACTATTAGAAAGCTCTTGTTATAAGCGCACAATGTCATAGTATGAATCAAGAGATGCAAGTTTGTACTGAGATCACTAGATAACACGTCTTCTGAATAAAACTTGACGTTCTGGCACGTGAACTGACCATTTGGAATACACCATAGTCTTTCAACAAAATACTGCATGAGAAAGGGAATTACCCAAGGGGAAACATTGGCATCTAGACATTTTTGTGATTGGCAGACATATTAGATAGATAGATAGATAGATCCCTTTTGCTGCCTTGATGTATGCACACATTTTCTGATAGTCCCTGGTGCAGTGGTTTTCAAACTATGGGCTGCAACCCAGTACTGGGTTGTGGAATGTCAGGCACTGGGTTTCGTTGCTGCAGGAGGATCTGGTGATCAGTGGCAGTGCTAAGGCAGGCTACCTGCCTGTCCTGCACTGCAGACTGCACTGCAACCCAGAGGCCTGGCTCCTAGATCGTGGGGAAGCACACACGTCTCTGTGCATTGCCCCGGCCCTATACAGTAACTCCACATTCCCACTGGCTGGGAACTTCCTGCTGGCTGCTTTTGGGGCACAGCATGGTCTGCGGTGCCAAGAGAGGCAGGAAGCCTACCTTAGCACTCCCGCTATAGCGCTGATGGGGAGCCAATCAAGGTAAGCCCCTCTTGTCCCAGCCCTGACCCCTCCCCCAAAGCTGGAGCCCCTTCCTACATCCCAAAGCTCTCGTCCTCAGCCCTATTCCAGACCCCATATTTTAGTCAAATTATCTTGGGTAGCGGGCATCAACAGTTTTCTTCAACTGGGTCATAAGAAAAAAAGTTGGAAAATCACCATCCTAGAACACTTGACTGCAAAGAGGAGGATCTACTAAAACATTTTATATAAATGTAGCAGAAGATTGTCATTCTTTAGATATTACATCTATATGGCAAAAAAACATAGTTATATTTCTTTGTGTTTCAGAATTTCTCTGACTAATATTTCACATGCTTATATTGAGGGTAAAGACACAGACAAATGTTTATATTTTATTAATGTATATAGCAGTCTCGCTGAAGCTACATCACCCTCCCTACCTCCTTGTTGTATAAAGATGAAACAGTTCAGGTTCCCATGCTTACTGCTGTGGTATTTGAGATCGAAGTGGCTGATTTCCTCACTTGTTTTTAGGTTGACTTTGAACAACTTCAGGACAACTTATGTCAGATGGAGAAAAGGTGCAAAGCATCTTGGGATCACCTTAAGGCTATAGCAAAGCATGAAATGAAGCCAAATCTGAAGCAAAAAATGTCTGAGTTCCTTAAAGACTGTGCAGAAAGAATCATAATTCTGAAGATTGTTCACAGAAGAATAATTAACAGGTACAGCACAAGGGCACTGATGGGAATAACTTCAATGACTTATTTCAGTGTGCTTCAAACCACATTCCAAGAAGCATGCCTACTAACATATCTGTTGTGAATTCTTTATAACAGATACTCGTTTGTTCCAGATATTTCCTAACTTCAGCTGAATAATGCATTTCTGCTTAGAAAAACTGTGACTGACAATTATTTTCTTACATATTACTACATGCTATGGTGAAATCCCTTAGAAAATACTCAGGAAATTTCCTTTTGTTTTTAATTAGATATTTGCCATAGTAAAGATTGAGGAACAAGATCTGTATCTGGAACTAGAATTATACATAACTTGTACAATCTGCTAGTGCTCATATACACACAAGTGCCACTGCTGGTATATTTCCAGATTCATAAACTCATGATTAACTGATGATTTAAATACAGGTTGAATCTCTCTTGTCTGGCACCGTTGCGATCTGATGGGTGCCAAACCAAAGAATGTGCCGAATCACAGGAGATCGGTATAGTCTAGCAGCATTACCAACACTTTCACTGTTTGCTGGGCTCTGAGAAGACATTGAAGGGTAAATTGGAGATAAATAACAATGCAGAACACTGAGAGCCAGGACTGGTGGCTATAAACAAACTTTATGGGTCCATGAGAAGCTTGGCCATACCACCTTCTAAGTAGTACCCCAGATATAGCCGAGTACTCATGAAAGCAGGAACTCGCAAGTTTCCTACTGGGTTTATTCACATATATTGTGTTGGATTTGAAAATAAGTAGAACAGTATTTTTTTTACTTTAAATTATATAATGTAATTATTATTCTAAGCCTCTCTAAGATACCTTATTTAATCATATCTTTCATTTTCATTGTAATGAGTGTTCTAATCAGCATGGATATTATAGATAAATAGATTCACAAAGATCTATACATTCAACAGTCTATTGTGAATAATGTGGTACAGAAGCAGCAGCAAAGCTGCAAATAATAGAAAACATTGTGAATAAAACTGAATCAACAATAAAGATGTGAACTCAAAGCGCCCCAGACTAAAAGTATTTGGATGTTACAACATTTTATGGTTTTCTTTTTTGAACTAGAAATACTTCTTTTCCTGTGCTGCTAGCCTGTAAATCTTCATTCTTCTTGTCTAGACTTTCCCCAACTTTCTTAACTGCCTCTTTGAAGTTGCTTAATACAAACAAATGGAATTAAAACAAAATATTTTTTTTCAATATCTGAAATGAAATTGTTCATGCACATACCAAATTAGTAAAATAAAATGAATGGAGCTCCATAAACATCTTATCTCTTATATCAGCATGGGAAAATGTGTTGGGATGAACTTATCATAGACTAGCCATTTATTTGCATTATGTTTTTAATTATAAACCATGCCAGTGATGTTTAAGGCATCCATGAAAACTTCACAGCATGAAAAAAAAAAGAGAGCTCATAAGACAATAAATGGATCACCTGGAATCTATTTTCCTGAAATCCAGGCTTTTTCATTTTTAAAGCTGTAATTAATTTGTTTTCTTTTCAGGTTCCATGCATTTTTGTTATTTATGGGCCATCCTCCTTACGCAATCCGTGAAGTCAATATTAATAAGTTCTGCAAAATTATAAGTGAATTTGCTTTGGAATATCGCACCACCAGGGAACGAGTTCTGCAGCAGAAACAGAAACGCGCCAACCACAGGGAAAGAAACAAGACCAGGGGGAAAATGATCACAGATGTAAGTGGCAAAATCAAATCCACTGTGTCAAATATATGTGAAGCTTTCTTTTTTTAGTGAATGCTTACCTTAGATGTTATTAACCTTCCTTTGAGGTTTCCCTCCACTATGAATAATGTGTTCTGTATTCTTTTGTAAATCAGTATTATGCTTTTCTTTTTCATTGACTACTAATCTTCTAGATTCAGAGCAGCTTCCTGACTTGAACAAAATAAGACTAAGGGTTCCTAAACAAAATCTCCCATATGATGTGTGGACAAATTCATGCACAGTGTCTGTTTTCAACAAAGAATAGAGTAAAAATTGAGGGCGCCTTACTGAAAAATATGGCCAAAAAAACATAACCTTAAAGCTAGGCTACCAAAACATTCCATATATCAAATTACTGACTGCATGTTTAGGTGCCGATCTAGGTATGCAATGTTAAGTTCCCATTTGTATAAGTATAGTATTTATTTTCTCATTAGGTAAAAAAATATATTACATGAAAGTCAAGTGCAGCCTCTTTCAGATTTTAGTATAGATCGCAAATTTAGATTCTCTTCAACTGTTATCTGATTAACTTTTCTGGCTGTGTTCAGGCTACTTTGGTAAAAAATAAGATGAACTTTCTCTTAATCTTTAAAGATCCTCTGATTATTTTATCTTCCTTTAAACTGTGATGCTGTTTCATTGAGTCCAACTAAAGTTTTTATAAGTGCCAGTACTTAGTAAAAGTTTCCAGCTGTCTCAAAATCCAAATCTGGAATTTCGATTAAACATGAGTGGTTCATCACATATGAAGCTACCCCTATCCTGCTTTTGGCACAAAAAACCCAAAGCTGATTACAGTTTTTTGGCCAACGGCTCAGACAAGTTAGGTAAGGAAAAAAAAATGCATCAGACCCATATTGGGATTGTATTTAAGTCGTTGAGTCACAATCATTTGTAGATCTTTCCTGGCAATAACCTTTCACATTTTGGAAATCTGTCGTCTGGGAGAGAATGTTAGAGCCACATCATTATCTCAAAAAATTTTCCTTTTTGGACTAGTCCCAAATAAAGGAAAGGTTCTGAGTCTGTGAAGAGGGTTTAAGATAGGTATGCAAAATTTCAGGGCTACTGTTAAGGTACTGAAGTGTGATAGTTGCAATGCATGCTAATTTCTCTGTAACATTCTGGAGGAGTTAAAAAGTGATACTCATCAAAGTGATTGCCAACTTAAATATTTAATTTTCTAAATAGTATCTGTAAGAATGGTGCATTGTCATAGGTACATGGGGAGGTTGCGTTATGTCTGCACAGTGTACTGCTATCGCTACCCTGCAGTTAGATTGAAACATATGTAGCCATATTTAAAGTGGCTTTAATCTAGCGGGCTCTCATACTACAGTAGTAGCAATGAAACAGCAGCAATACAGACATCAACTAGCTGCCCATATAGAATCCCACATTAGTTTGAACAACCTGTGCTGAAGCCTGTGCTGCCATAGCCATATTTTGCTGCTATGAATACCCACACTAGCTAGATTAAATCTGTCATGGACATGACACATGCTACAATCACCCTTCTTCCCATCCTTGATTTTAGTGTAGAAATAACCCCACGTCTGCCTTTAGCTACTGATGTCAGTCACACATTTGCAGAAGTGATACACTTCACTGAAGAATAAGTAGGAAAGATGGGAAGGAAATGTTGTTATACCTTTGATCTTTTCAATTATTTTTAATAACATTGAGTAGTAGATAAAAGTACCCATCCCCCCAGAATTATACAGCTCTTTTGTATAGTGCTTTAGAATTTCCATTCTAAAAATTCTATTTAATAGAAATAATATTTAAATATGGAAAAATCCTCACACATATGAATCCTAGAGTGATTTTTAAAAGGTCTCCTGAAATTGTGCTACAGCCTGTGAAGTTGATACAAAAGTTGAATCCCTGGGATTTGAATTGGAGATCCTTTGAGCTATAAAAGCTAGAGCTCATGCACAAAGAAAGCTAGGGGTGCTGTTCAGCCTAGCTGCATTCCTCCAGTACTGTTTGGTTATGGTAATTTTGTTAACATTTTCCTAATTCAAAAACATTTCTCCATATATTTGACCATTAAAGAAAGAAGAAAGAATAGAAGGAAAATTCCCATCTAATTAATCCTTGATCTAACTAGGCAATTTACTTACTACTTTAACTCTTATCCTTAGTAACTGGTGCTGTTCAGCCTAGCTGCATTCCTCCAGTACTGTTTGGTTATGGTAATTTTGTTAACATTTTCCTAATTCAAAAACATTTCTCCATATATTTGACCATTAAAGAAAGAAGAAAGAATAGAAGGAAAATTCCCATCTAATTAATCCTTGATCTAACTAGGCAATTTACTTACTACTTTAACTCTTATCCTTAGTAACTATAGGGT